TTGAAATTAAAATGTAGGGGCTCAAAAAACAAAAACAAATGTAGGGGCTCAAAATGTAAGAACACTGAAACTTCAAGATTCTCTGCGCGTATTAGTTGACACTTCCAAATAAAGTTTGTTGCGTTGTCACGTCACATATCTCTCTCTCTCTCTCTCTCTCTCTCTCTCTCTCTCTCTCTCTCTCTCTCTCTCTCTCTTACTATATTCTTAATTTCCTAGAGTTTCAAGATTAGAGCTCCAAGATCCATGGCGAGGAATCTGCAACATGAAGATGACTTCGAGCCAGAAATACAAGAGCTTTTTCAGAGATCAACCATTGCTTGGTTATCCCAAGCTGACCTCATCACTATCTACGATCGCCATGCTAACTTCCTTTCCCGATGAGCAATGGACGGTTAGGGCCACTTTCGTTTGCTGAAGGGGTGTATCTCTACTTCTCCCGTAGATTTAGAGACAGGTTCGCGTGGAACGCCGTCAACGAACCCAAAAAGATAAAATTGTCGATTGGGAAGGCATATACAAGGCGCTTAGGTAACACATACCGAAGCATCTTTGAATCTTCCCAACGGTGGAGGTACATTCTGGAGGAGAAACTATCACCGGGGTAAAAACGCTGTTTGTATTGTACATTACCTCATCCATCCGCCGCCGGAAGTGAAAGTTGAAGAGGTTTTCCACATATCGACTCTTGATTGCCTGAATCAGGAGGATCTTGTGGCGACAAACCAACAAGATGAAGACTTTGAGCAAGAAATATAAGAAATTTTTTAGAGATCAAGGATCGATTGGTTATAGCAAGACAACTTCGTAATCATCTATGATCAACATTTAACTGGCTATCTATAATCGCCATCAGCTTGTCCCCTTTGATATAAGCGATATTGCAATAACCACGTAGAGTCGGTGATGAGATTTGTTATATTCAAGTTGTTTTGCTGACTCCAACGGCGATAAGTTTTTCAGGAGAAATCACCATCGTAGTGAAAATCTCTTGTGCCTCGTGCACTACATGTGCAATCTAGCTTCATAGACATTTCCTAATTTTGGTGCTAGACATCTCTATCTTTTTCTGACGGTTTTAATTAATGTCCACTTGCATTCTCTTTTTGGACAAGATTTTGATGAGCAATTAACTGAAACCAAAATAGGAGAACAAAGTCTGAGAGCCAATAAGCAACAAGACAATTGCATTGTGGTTCTAATGTGGTAACATACTGAGCTACTGCAGTCTGTAACAATTTTTATGTATGTACAACTTTTTGTTACTATGCGACTCTAAGTTAAATTTGAGAAACCGAGCTGAGTCTTATGAAATCCCTTTTTTTATTTCTCTGCAATTAAAGTAGAGTTAACCTCTGCATATTGAAAAACCAAAAAAAAATTATAAGTTGTTTATTTAGTATATTCTAGTCTTTTTGGTCTAATTGTTAAGGAAACATATACATGTATGTGTACATGTTTTATATTAGTGATATTAATTGTAAAATGGAGTAATTATGAAATTGATAAACGCCTGGTAACTGTTATGTTTGTGGTTCATTATATGAACCAAACTGTTATATTGTCCTAACTTAATCTCGAATCTCATAATAATGTTCTGTTTTGATCGAAAACAAAATGTAGGGGGCCAAAATGTAAAAATATGAAACGTCAAGACTCTCTGCGCGAATTAGTTGACACTTGCAAATAAGTTTTCTCCGGAATTAAATCCCTTTTCCCTCATCTTCCGCTCGCCTACTCGTGCTTCCCTCGCGTCGCAGACTATCGTAATCAGAATTTTCCGGTAAGTATCTTTCTTCCTTTCTTATTATATGTCTTAAAAGCAGCCAAGTAGACTCAAATCGGTCGGTTATTTGGGTTGGGAAATCTCGGATTTGATCGCGAATTCGGGTACTTAGGGTTTCGATGTGGGGTTTTGACTCAATCCGAGATGTAATAGTTTTAAAATCAGTTACTCACTCGTGGAATAGATGGTCAGTGAGTTATTTGTGTGTGTGATAATGATGCATTGTGGAATTTGAAGTGAGTTTTGATTATACACGTGAATGCTTTATGTTTGAAGTGATCTCTCTCTCTCTCTCTCTCTTGCTTGCAGGTTTTTAAAGAAATGAATTTCTTAAACTCAGCAGCGTCGTTATGCAGAAGAGTTAGTTTGAGGGAACTTATCACCGAGGTTCCTGCTTACGGTGGCAGTGGCATTTCCGGTATATAAATACCTTTTGCCTTTTTGAAATGTATGTTTGTGTTTCATCTCTTGTCTGGTTAACTCACTTGTGTTTTTTGTGTAAGATTGTTCTTCAAGTGGGTTGAGTTTGGTGTTAAAGCGTTGGGCTACTAAGAAAACCGCTGGTTCCACCAAGAACGGTCGTGACTCTAAACCCAAGAATCTCGGCGTCAAGAAATTCGGAGGAGAGGTAGTAATAACATTACAGCAATGAGAGATAGTTAACTTTAAATTAACAATCGGAGTGTGTGTGGTTTTTTGCAGAATGTGATACCGGGAAACATTATAGTCCGTCAACGTGGGACTCGGTTTCATCCGGGGGACTATGTTGGGATCGGGAAGGACCATACTTTGTTTGCGTTGAAAGAGGGACGAGTCAGGTTCGAGAAAGACAAGATCACTGGACGGAAGTGGATTCATGTTGATCCTAAGGGAGGTCATGTTCTTCACCCTATCTACACTAAAGCTGCTGCAATGGCCAAGTCCACTAAGATAGAGACAGCTTCTTCCTCGTGAAAAGACATTGATTCAAAGTGTCTTTCTTTTGTTAGATAATACTTTCTCGAACAGCAACGCACTCAATTCAATAACACGTGCTGTTTTAGTCTTTGTCTGAAAACTGATCATTTGTTTTTCTACGCCCAAGGCACAAGTTCAATTCTTCAAAAGATTATCAAATGTTTTCTTCTCCGGTACATTGTTGTATTCATTACTCTCACTTTTTTTGATTATCAAATGGTTTCCCCGGCCCATTTGACAGTGGGCCGACATTTTAGCTTCAGGCTTTTACAATATACGAGTCAGCGACTGTATGTATATCGATAATTAGCACCATAATATCTGATCGCTTTCAGTTACGACAGTAATCACACTTGAGTATGTCAAACCAGCTTTGTTTTTGGCACAATGTGAATTAAGAGCCAACTTGTCTAAACAATTAAAGCAGTTTCCTCCATTTCTTCTCAAGTTGTCAAGCACATCACATATGTTCTTGAATGATTTCTCTGCTTTTTTACGTTTTCATCTTTACAAAATCAAAATTATATAATAGGTCATTGTTTTGTTCAAATCTGGAGACTATGCCAAATTAATAATACGAAAAGGCCCATACGTTCATTGTACTTGCATTTGTGCACATACATTGTAACGTATGTGTATAATAATATACATTATATATAACAGAAGTAGTACATTATTATGATAATAATTGAAAGGTTGCTAAAAGATTAATACTGTATTGATATAAATTTTAGTATATTTTATAATTGGTTGTCAACATCATGGAGATACAAATTTAGCAAAAAAGAAAAAGACATGACTCACATTAGATGCTGTTCTACGAACCCTATTTACTAGCCCATATTTATTACACTTATCTTTATTATTAACCCTAGGGTGGGGTCAACAAACCATAGTTAAATGTTTTTTTTTTCTTGCCAAAGAAAAAAAAAACCCCATAATGATTATGAATCTCAACCACACAACTTGGATTTCTCATTATCAACAGTGTTCAACATCTCATCTCTTCTTCCTCCATGGGGGTAGATTTATACAAATACAATACTTAAAGTTTGCTTTATAGATTAGTATCAGTCCAAACACTTAAATTCCATATACCAAACTCCCAAAATTTTCAGATTTACATTTTAAGCAAACAGTTTGGTTTAGTCAATCTTTATCTTACTTTCACTTCCCATCTATTCTTCTTCTTCTTCCTCCAATAAAACCCTAAATATTTTGAAAGTCATGGATGTAATAGCAACTACAGCTACTGTAGTATCCGACTTGGATTCGCGGCAACCCGTTACCGAAGCTCCGACCCGGATCCACCCCGCGAAGCCTATTTCTTTCTCAAACGGGAAACGATGCCACAACGACCACCAACAACACCATGTGTCTGAAGTCGTTGTCACTTACAAAGAATGTCTAAAGAACCACGCTGCTGGAATCGGCGGTCACGCCTTAGACGGTTGCGGCGAGTTCATCCCGTCTCCGTCGTTTAACACCAGCGACCCGACTTCACTAACATGCGACGCGTGTGGTTGCCACCGTAACTTCCACCGCCGAGAAGACGATCTATCTTACGTTTCACCTGTCGTCCCGAGGATAGAGTATCGTCCTCATAACCGTCACCAGCTTCCTCCTCCGCTACCTCCGGTGGAAATTGGTAGCCAAGACGACGACGATGATCCTGCTTCTCCGCCTCCGATCTCGTCTTCTTATATGCTTCTTGCACTCTCGGGAGGAGCGGCGACGGTTCCGGTGTCGAGGAAGCGGTTTAGGACGAAGTTTAGTGAGTTTCAGAAGGGGAAGATGTTCGAGTTCGCGGAGAGAGTTGGGTGGAAGATGCCGAGAGTGGATGACGTGGATGTGGTGGAGTTTTGTCGGGGGATAGGGGTTGAGAGAAATGTTTTCAAGGTGTGGATGCATAACAACAAGATTCCAGGACGAGGAGGAGTTAGGAGAGCTAACGGAGGAGGAGGAGATGGTGGAGAGAGTGTACTTCCGACGAATGGTTCGTTTTCTTCAACGTGAAGACGTGAAACAGCAACGTCGGTGTTTGGTAGCTAGTTTGTGTTGGTTTCTCTTTGTTTGTTTGTGTTTTACGTTTTTAGTCAACGGGTCCGATCTGTGTTCTATTCACTTGAAAAATGTTTTTTCTTGATAGTTTACTATTGTTAGAGAATGTAACCTTCGGCCAAAATAAAAGATTAACCTCTAAATTTTTAATGAAAACATGATATCCGTGCAATTAGATGTATTTTCTTTTAATTTATAGATTACTTGGTGTTGTTTCTAGTTTCTTTTGGTGTTTTTCCGTCAATTTGGATAATATTAGGTTTTTGATTAGAGTTGCAACTTACATCAAACGAATACAAAGCCTGCAACATTTACAGGTTAAACCGTCCAGAACAAAAATACCAGTGCTATTAAATAAAATATCTAAAATCCAATCACTTGCTTCCAAAAAAAGCTACAACGAGTAGAAAATATCAAACAGAGGTTTAAACGTTCTCATCATCAAACAGAACCGCCAGCTACATACAGTCCCCACTCTCATCACATACGATCTCTGTTCTAAAAATCGGCCGTCTAGCCGTCTAGGCGGCCGCCTAAACCTAGACGATACTTTTCCGCTCTGATTTATGTCAAATTATCGTCCGAACACATCTAATTCGTCGTTGAAGAATTACCATTAAAGAAAACGTCCGAACACGTCTAATTCGCCTAGGCGACCGCCTAATCTACTTTTTTATCTATTTATTTGTTTTAAAATTTAATAAATTATAATTTTGATGAAATTATATCCTATTAATTTTGTATATTCTATTTGTGTGTGTTTATAAGATTTTAAACATGAAAATGTATTAATGTTATATACAATTAAAGATTAATATTATCTTATAACATATCAAATAGTTTAAAAATTATGTCACGTATAATTTCCGCTTAATCCCTGATTTTCTCTCTAGGCGCTACGCCCAATCGAACCGCCCGACTAACGCTTTCTCGAACATGGCATACGATTGTCTGAAGTGTGCTTTTATAGCGCTCTGGAGCAATGGAAAGCGCAACTGTGTTTGTAGCGCTAGATACCATCTTATAGTTGACCAGAGGTTGACTTTCTTTTAAAACAGGCCCAATTAATGTATACAATTAAATCAGGCCCATAAAGTCAGAAAAGCCCAGTAAAGACCTAAGCCTTTAGGGTTTTAAAGCACCCTTATAAAGGCGTATGTATATCTACTCCGCCATTTCTCTCTTCCTGCCCTAGTTTCTCACACAGCTGATTTCTCACTAAGGAGAAGACCAAAACATGGTGCACGTTTGCTATTACCGCAACTGTAAGCATCCTCTTCCCTTTGTAATGTAGTCTATGTCTCATTCTCGATTCGATCTAGCGTGTCTTCCCTTCGAACTTACCTATAGATTGTTAATCACTGTTCGGTTTAGAATATGTGAAACCATGAACGATGTCATTTTGTTACAATTAGATGACAAAACATAGATCCGTGTCATGTTCCAAAGAGTTTTGAATTTGGAATGTGTGTTGTGTTTCATGATCGAACTTACAGATAGATTGTTGATTGCTTTGTGCTTTAATTTAGAGTATGTCATTATGTTACAGATTCAGTTTATTACAATAATTAAATCTGAGATATGAAATAAAACGTAGATCCTTAGATTTCTTTTCTTTTTGCTAAGAGTTCTGATTTTGGATTGGTGTGTTTGTGTAACAGATGGAAAAACCTTCAAGGGCCCACGTCGTCCTTTCGAGAAGGAGCGTCTCGACTCTGAGCTGAAACTCGTCGGCGAGTACGGTCTCCGTAACAAGCGTGAGCTCTGGAGAGTGCAGTACTCTCTTAGCCGTATCCGTAACGCCGCAAGAGATCTTCTCACCCTCGACGAGAAGAACCCCAAGAGGATCTTCGAAGGTGAAGCCCTTCTCCGTAAGATGAACCGTTATGGTCTTCTTGATGAGAGCCAGAACAAGCTCGATTACGTCTTGGCCTTGACTGTTGAGAATTTCCTTGAGCGTCGTCTTCAGACTATTGTGTTTAAGTCTGGTATGGCTAAGTCTATCCATCACTCTCGTGTCCTCATCAGGCAGAGGCATATCAGGTGATTGTCTTTGTTGGATTTAAATGTTTTATTTTTTCATTACTAGCGTTGTTTTAGTATCTTAAGTGGTTTTTTTTTTTTGGTTTATTAGGGTTGGGAAGCAATTGGTGAACATTCCTTCGTTCATGGTGAGACTTGACTCTCAGAAGCATATTGACTTTGCTTTGACCAGTCCCTTCGGTGGTGGCCGTCCCGGTAGAGTGAAGAGAAGGAATGAGAAGTCTGCTTCCAAGAAAGCATCTGGTGGTGATGCAGATGGTGATGATGAAGAGTAAACAATCTGCCTTTTGATCATTTGTAGTCTGTTTTTTTTCCGGTGGATTGTTTTATGTTTTATTTCGCTTTCTCCTAAGATTGTCGAACCATTTGCTTATTGTTTACAAACATCTTCTCTTCCAAAGTTTTGTCTTATTCTTGAGTCTCTTTTATGCTGAGATCCCAAAAACAGCACATAGTTTAATATTTCTAATAGCCTATTCTGGAATGTGTCTATTTGGGCTTAAACGATTCTGTTTAAGCTAAGCCCATATACTAAACTATCTGGCCCATGTGCATTGTACTTTTAAAGTTGACTGCCATTGCTGATTTTACTATTCTTAAAAATCTTAGTGATATCGCCGTCCGTGATTACATAAATACACTTGTTTACTACTCGGCATATTGTCATAACACACGTGTTACATGCTACCTACGTGGAAACCAATAAACCATATCATGATATAACACATAGTAAAACAATTTAAATACCATTGAGTTTGTTTTTATACTTGTAGATTCAAGCAATGGTCGGTTATTCTGACACGTAAATGAAAATAGTGGTATCATTTAGCCTTCGATGTGAGCCATGAGACATCCAAAACAATCCATCTTTACACGTATTAAACATTTGAGAATCGTCTTTCTGATTTTAATATACTTTATTGCATATAATCTTGAATATCTGCCGATGGATTGATTACCTTAATGTTACCAATCATTCAACCATTATAGTTTTGCTTTTACTAATACTAAGAAAACTATACTTGCATCACTACAAGTTTCAAATATGTTGGTAAACAACTACAAATCTTCATAATCTAATAGAACTCAAAATCTTCCGGTTTGATTTCATGTACACAGGAACGAACTATTTCACGTTTGTTCAAAATAAAAATAAATTATTTCAGGTTTACTTTACTATTATTATAATTTATTCACTTAGATCTCTAGCTAATCTTTTTTTTTTTCTACAATCTATTTACAATTAAACTAAATTTAGAGGATGATTGGTAAATGCTGTGAGTGCTCTCCACAGCTCATTTTCTTTTTACAGTCACTTTATTATACCAATCATACTCTAGAAAATTCATTTAAAACTATAGCTCCAAAATTAAAATATAAAATAAAATGGCTTTGAAAATCACTTTTTCTAGAGCTTTACATTTTTTTTTTTTTTTTTGAATTGAAATGTTAAATTAAAATTCAAAAAAAACAACCTTACATCAATTGTTTCTATATGCAAAATTTGTAAAACAAATCAAAACTTGATCAACATATAAAAACTCCGGCTGAGGGAACTCCTTACCGACCATCTCAAACATCTTTACCAACCTTCACCTCCTCCAAACCAAACTCAGACCTTAAGCCTAGCCCTCACTCCTACTAGGCCCCAGCTCTCACTCCTACTGGCTCTCCACAACCTTCCCACCAACAAACCAAAACTCAACACAATAATGCCTAGCTCTCACTCCTACTAGACATCCCAGCTCTCACTCCTACTGGGAGAAACTAACGTGTCAAGAACCAATATTGCATCCAATCAACCGTCTTAGCATCACCTCTTCTCTGAATTAGAGTAATCTTGTTTCTCATGTTCTTATCCAGCAACTTAGCTATAAGTTCCACCGGCATTGCCACATCACCATGGCGTCTCCTATTCCTTTCTCTCCATATCATATACACTGCAGCTTGAAACATATACTTAAGAAAGAACATCTGCATCTTGCCTCTTGACAAGTCTCTCATTTTCCTCAATAAACTGCTCCAATTCACAGTGTACTCATCAAGAAGGACTCCCTTCATCATCATTTCCCAAATCTGAGCAGAGAAAGAACATGTAAAGAACAGATGCTCTAAAGTTTCCAGGGGCTCATTGCACAATACACAAGAAACATTCACATCCCCTCCCCACTTACTCATTCGATCACCGGTTGGGAGCCTACCCTTCAAAGCAGTCCACAAAATGAAAGAGTATTTAGGAGTTGCGTTTTTGAACCATACTGCTTTGTGCCAATGACAGTGTTGATGTTTCTCTCTAATCACCTCCCAAGTTTCCTTAGAAGAAAAGAACTTCTTATAGTTACCTTGACAAGTTAACCAAAGAGAAATATCATCCTCTTGAACTCTACAGGATCTGCTTAACTCAATCTCCGACTCCACTCTATTTAGGATTGGAACTCTGTGATTCCTTCTACGATGTTTCCAACTATCTTCAACAGTGGCGTTGATGGTAATACCCATGCCAATGCGACTACTCTCATCCAAAATACTATTCAGACATCCAAGAGATGACCATTTCTCAAACCAGAAAGAAGCTTTCTTTCCATTCCTCACTGCTACTTTGTATAACCTTCTTGCAGTATCCCTATATTTCAATAGTTTTCTCCACATCCATGAACCAGTCTGAGTATTCTCCTTGACCGTCCACAGTGAACCTTTTCTAATTAGATAAACTTTCACCCAGTTTACCCAAAGAGAATCAGAAGAAAGTATCCTCCATATTAACTTCAAACAGCTCACAAAATTTATGTCTTTCAACTTTCTCAAACCAAGACCTCCTTCTTGATGCGTTTTACTGATATCAGACCAAGAGACCTTCGCCTTATTACTATTGAGAGAGGGACCTGACCATAGAAAAGCCGAACAGAGCCTCTCAATCTTCTTCAAGCAGCTACTCGGAAGCTTAAAAGCAGCCAGCCAAAAATTAGCCAAGCTTGTGATGACTGACTTTATCAATTGTAGCCGGCCTGCATAAGACAAGAATCTCCCTGTCCAGGAACCAATTCTTTTCCTAATCTTCTCAATAAGAGGCATGTAGTCCAGCACTGTCATGTTCTTTGTTAGCAGCGGAAGGCCAAGGTACCTAACCGGGAGCTTTCCTGTGGCAAAAGGGAAGTGACTTGTAATATCCATCTGCTTTCGAGCTGACACCCCTGCCAAGAAAAGAGTAGATTTCTCCAAGCTGATTTTCAGACCAGACATCTTATCAAAAGTGTCAAAAACCTTCAGGATCTCCTCAATAGAATTTTTACTCCCATCCGTAAAGACCATCAGGTCATCTGCAAAACATAGATGAGTTAAATCTATGTTCTTACACTTTGGATGATATCCAATTTTCCCCCTCTTCACAGCCTCATCTAGCAGTCTGGAAAGAACATTCATACACACCACAAATAAATATGGAGATAACGAGCAACCCTGTCGTAAACCTCTTTTACTTTGAAAGTAGCCAGCCAGCTCCCCATTCACTTGAACCGAAAAAGAAGCTGTTGTTATACAGAGGGAAATCCAGTGGATGAATCTATCCGGAAGACCCAGAGCTTTCAGAGCGTTAAGAAGGAAGGACCACTGCACGGAGTCGAATGCTTTTGAGATATCAATCATCATCGCACATCTTGATGAAACATCTTCTTTGTGGTAGTCCTTTACGATTTCTGAAGCTAGGAGCACATTCTCCATAAGCAATCTCTCCTTTATAAAAGCTGATTGATTCCAAGAGATACATTTTGGGAGTATACTCTTCAATCGGTTGGCCAGAATCTTCGAAATCATTTTGTACAACACATTACAGCATGATATTGGCCTGTAGTCTTTCATCCCCTTGGCATCAGTCTTCTTAGGAATCAAAGATAAAATTGTTGAGTTAAGACCTTTGGGAAGGAAGCCCATAACGAAGAAAGATTGAACCGCCACCGTAACATCATTTCCTATTACTGCCCAAGACTCTTTGAAAAACTCTATTGTGAAACCATCCGGGCCTGGGACCTTACTCCCTGGCATTTTGAGTAACACCCTCCTTATCTCCTCTTTAGTAACTTCTCTCATTAGATAAGCTTTATCTGCATCACTACACTGAAAACCCATCAACTCCCTCAACCTCTCCTCTGTTACTCCTTCAAACTCTTGAGGTTGCGCAGTCATGAACTCCTCAAAGAACCGCTCTGCTTCCTTTTTAATTTCATCCTCCGTTTTTAATGTAGTACCATCAGCACAGTGAATCTCATAAATTGTATTATGGATCTCTCTTACTCTAGCAGCATTATGGAAAGCTTTATTATTTCCATCCCCTACCTCCAACCAATGTAATTTTGATTTCTGCTTAAGGAAATCCTCCTCTAGATCAGCCAACCTCTGCCAATGGTCATACGCCTTCACTTCTTCTCTGATATTTTCAGTACTAGGATTTTCCAGTGTCTTTTGTTGCGTTGCACAAAGCAACAGATAAGCTTCTCTTGTTCTTCTCGGAAGATCTCCCAATTTAAGCTTACTCAGAGATCTTAAGGGTTGCTTCAGAGCTTTTAGACGCTTGGTAAGCATAAACATTGCTGATGTTGACTGGAACAAGACATCTTGATCCTTCCAATAGCCATCTATTAAAGGTAAGAACTCAGGCATCTTTGCAATGGCGTTAGTAAACTTGAACGGCTTCCTTTTCTTCGCAACAACTCTTCCAAACTGGATTCTACATCTTAGATGGTCTGAGCATCCCCCTGACTCAAAGACACTGTAAGCTGCAGAATTATGAAGCCAAACTTCATTGATTAAAACTCGGTCCAGCTTCTTACATATCAGTCCCTCTTCCCTTTTGTTGCACCAAGTAAAAAGCGGCCCCTGATAACCCATGTCAGACAATCTACAAAAACTGGTCACTTCCTGAAACTCACGCATACCCATAGGAACCCTTCTATTATTCTCAAAATCTGAATGCTCAGTGCCCGATAATATCTCATTAAAGTCTCCCATGATGACCCATTTCCTCCTTGCAAACATTGGAGACTTGTAATGATTCACAATATCCTCCCAAAGACTCCTTCTTTCCTCCAAAGTGTTTAAAGCATAAACAAAAGAACAGTAGAAATCTTCCTCTTCCCCTGGAAGTAGAATAGAACAGGTGATCAGTTGATCACTTTTAAAAACCGGAGTAACCCTCACAGAAGACTGCCAAATTACCCAAAGCCTGCCCAACTTACTATATTCATAATTTGAGATAAGATCCCAACCAGGAAAAACACTTGAAACAATCCCACTAGCATTCTTCTTCTTCACTCTTGTTTCAATCAAACATCCAAATAAAAAATTCTGACTTCCCATCCAATTCCTCACAACTTCATGCTTAGCTTTTTTATTAAACCCTCTCATATTCCAAAAGAACCCTGCCATTAGAGATTTTTATTAGTGCCCCGCCCCTGGAACAGCTTATGATTCGTCTTAGATTGTCGAGGAAGAGTTTGCCTTGTTCTCTTGGCCTCAATGCTCTCCTCAATTTTCCTTTGACAAACATCCTCTGCACCCTCCGTATCAATCTCCTCCACTGTATCTATTTCACCCTCCTCAACTTCATCAGGTTCATCTTGAATTGCCTCACCTTTCTCATCAGAATTCCTCAAGGCTGCAAATCTAGACGGAGTTGCAATTGTTACTTGGCCAAACTTTAGAACATGTGATGGACTCCTACTCGCTTTTTCAACTGAAACTTTCTCCCATTCTCCTTCCTTTCCTTCCTTAACCTCAACATTTTGTACTTTACTACTCTCTCCCTCCATAATACTGCTTCTCATACTTCCTTTTTCAACTTCCTTTCCAGCACTCTTCTGCACTGCCTCTTCCATCTGATTTTCCAAACTCAGCTCTCTAGTTTCTTTTTCAGGTATCTCCATTTCAACCATTCTCTTAGTTACTTTACAAAACGTCTCATAATGACCCCAGCTCCCACAGTTAGTACACTTCGGTGGTAACCAAGGGTACGTGAAACGAACCGTCGTAACCACCCCTTGAATATTGTAGTCTATGGTATCAGGTAGATCCTTGCTTGAGTCTACTTTCACAAAAACCTTAGCGATGTCAAAGTTTTTGCAAGCGAGAGTCTCAGGGTGGAGGTGATCAGGCACACCAGCTGCACTTGTTATAAAGCTCAATCCATCCCATGAATACATACTCATTGGAACTCCAGTGACATGAACCCAGAGAGGAACGAGACTCGACTTCGAAGCATCCTCCACCGGAGACCAGTTTGAAGCAATCATAGAGACACCTGCGATGTTCCACATCCCTCTTCTAATAACTTTTCCTCGAATCCTCTCATTCGTAATCCGAATCCTCATCGTCATGTCATCCATTTCGTAGACATCGAGCTTCTGATTCTTTTCACCGAACGCCCAAATCTTATTAACGATCATGTGAACCTTCGCTACGTGAGGAGCTTTGTCTAGAAACCTTGCTATAAAAAAGTCTTCCCATAACGGATTGCCCTCCTCGATGATCGCAGACGGCACCTCAACCGATTTCTTCCCTTCAGATTCCAACATTTCAAACTCAAATTTCTTCAAAACCTGTTTTCCTTGAGCAACAGAGACCCATTGCTCCTTCAATTGCTTAATCGGAGGCGATTGATCCCCGAGAACCTCCTTAGAACCCATCTCTGCTGCCGGAGAAGACAGCGGAGATTTAGAAACTACGATCGCCGTTTTCGTCGCCAAAATCGCCTTTGTCAAAACACTGCGTTTTTTAGCCTGTTGCAAGTTCTAGAGCTTTACATTTAGTGCTTTGAAAGTTATTAATATAAATATACAACAATAAAATCTACAGCTACAACAATTAAATCTAGAGCTATTATTCTAAAGCCAAAAAATAAAAGCTACAACACTTACCATTCATCCCCTTAATGATATGAAAAGCAAATATCTGACATTAATAAATTTAGGAATAACCTACATCTGTACCCAAGAAAAACATGGTGCTTAGAACATGTTGTAGTATTATAACAAAATCTTAACAGAGATTTTTTGGGGATGACATGGCAATAATCTTTGGAAGTTATCCAACTAGTTTTGAGGAAAAATGCCGAACAAAACGGCGCCTGATTTGGTCGTTTTCAGATCCGATTTCCGCTTCTCCCACACGTCTAATTTCAATCGGTCAAACAAAACACAGAAAGATCCGGTCCATTTCATTTCTATAATCAACCGGCTCCATCTAATTCGCCACGTGTGAAAACCTCCATGGTGTAAATACCCCGTGACGTCATCAATACTGACACGTCAACACTAACCGTTTTTCCTCACAAGTTTCGGTATATAAATGGAAGTGTTTAAGCTCCGTTTCACATGTATTTCACAGTTCTCAATAAATTTCACATTTTGAGTTTCGAAATTTTATCCCCCAAAATCTTGTGTATATATATTATATATATAGAGAGGATGAGTATGAGAGGAGAAGTTGCAGCTTGGTCGGAGATGGAGGCGTTAGCAAGGAAGAAGATGGTGGAGGAAGCTGAAACAGAGAGCAGTGGATCATCCGAAGCTGAGACTGAGTCTCCAAGATCCGTGGGACGTTGGACGGCTAAAGAACGAGTACATAGCCAGGTTTTGAAGATCAGAGGGGAGGATCTTTGCGTTCTCGAGAGTCGTCGATATCTTCATGATCATCCACATGGTCTCAGTTTGTTCTTGATCTCGAGGCCGAACTTGCCATGTTCGCCTCTCAGTGGCAAAGTGAGATCCGTTAACGCTGTTCAGTGAAATGACTCTTTTAATCGATTAAAGGTTCGTCTCTCTGTTTCTTCACTTTCTTTATGTGTTTAGGTTATAATTATATTCCTTAAATTTTCTATTAACTTTGGTTGATCGTTTTGGTTTTGTGCAGGTGTTCTGTCCTATGCGTTTTCTTTTTAGTTTATCTGTTTTTTTTTCTTATTGTTTGTTTTGTTTATGGAAGAACTCTTTAGATAGAGCCTTTTCCTTTTCATAATGTCATGTGTATATAAACCGTGAATGTATATATGATGAGCTCGTGAAACTTTACGCTCTACTTTTGTTTACAGCTTTTTCTCTTTAAATATGCATGTAACTATCATCCATGTTCATACATATCATGTGTATATAGCAGAAAAAGAAATGATTAAGCCCTCAATAAAAAAAAAAAAATTAGGACCACCTACTAGAGTTTTGAATTCAATATTTAATTTTAGTTGACAATAAGATCGAATAATGAGAACGAGCTATTTACTAGTAGTTAAAAAACATTATACACCTTATTAAGTAAAAATATAATTTTACAGTTTTATTTTATTTTCCATTTCAATTCGTTTTACTTCACACATAATTCTTCAGAGAAAGTACACAAACAATTTATTTTTTACAAATAATCACAATTTCATGAAATATCTCAACTTAGTTAACCATCCTGCACTTCCTCCGAACTTCCCCGGCCTTACCTGTCAAAACCCCAATCCGACCCATCTTCACCATAGAGACACCAAAGTCCTTAAAGAAAGTAGACCCATAGCTCTTCGTTTGCTTTAAAACGTAAGACTTGGTTTCTTTGTTGTCCAAAAGAGCCGCATCAGATTGAAAGAACCCTCTTCTTTGTGACACAAGCTTGAAGAAGCTTTTATCGAATGTTTTGAAGCTTCCTGGGTCCATTTCTAGAGCTGTCGTGGTATCGGTAGGTTTGCATCTTCTTCTGAGGTTGGCTGCGTATTCCGTGTCAAGGTTTGGGTCGCTGTCTCCTTTTCCAGTGAAATTGTAGAGCCGATTTGTGATTAGTGGACAATGTCCGTGCCCAACCGTATGTCCACCTATTAACATGTAAATGCATATTAAAAAAAAGAGTATATATATATATATATATAGTATAACCTCTTTAAATTAATATTCTACAAATTAATATACACTAAATTTTTTTATAAAATAATATAATTTTATAGTCACAAATTGAATTTTCGATTCAGTTAGTATATTGATAAATTAATAAAAATTATAGTTTTGATTAATTTATAGAGATTTCACTATATAAATAAATATATATATATATATAAAATTGTGATAGAATATTTTATGCCGTAGTTAAAATAATCGGGTTGAGATATGAGACTAGTTTTGCCGTTTCAAGTCAACTCTATAAGAACTTGGTAACAAAAAGAATTTCGTGTTTGTTCAGAAAAAGATGGACTTGGTTATTTGATACGTTGTTCGAACATATTTGATGATTTTCTGATTCTAATAACATACCTGAAAGCACGACGAGGTCTTTCTTGTCAAGGCCTTTGGAACGAAATCGGGTGATAAGGCTAGTGATATTATCAAATGGTGATGGTAAGTTTGCTCTTGCCTCATTGATGTTTGTAACCCGACCGTCTCTTCTTCCCGTTTCAACTTCCCATGAGGGGCCATTGAGCTGAAAATATATTAATGATTGGTCTATGATATAAGAAAATATACTATAGCAATTTGTTTGAGTATGCTTTCTTTTAAGATCGGTCAAAAATCTGAACCGCGATCAATTTTTGTATCCAAACCTAATTTCTAGAGTTTACAATTACCGTGTGAATTTTGTAATAGATAAAGATTCCGTAAACCCAAACCTAACAATTTTATCACTACTTGATATACGAAATAAATGTATACTAACCGCAACCACTGCGTCTCTAGCGACAAGGGCCAAGACATCAGAGCAAGAAACAACGCCTTGACACTCCTTTTCTAAAGCTGCCTTGACTCTGTCTATGATCTCAAACCCTCGTAGGCTGAGGTTAGGAGCCGCATTCTTTTCGTCTTTTTTGTTCTTTAGCTCTAGCAAGACCGACCCTTCACATCCCTAAAACATCATGAATCATTAGGTTGACAAAGTATTAAAAGATGAATTTGGAAACTAGGGTTCTCATCAAGAAAAAAACATTACCCTAACGAAACAGTCGTGGAAGAACATTCTGAGCAAAGGAGCTCCAATTGTCGGATCCTTCTTTATCGCATCGAGGACAGACTTCTTGACAATACGCTCAGCTTTCGGGCATGTTTTGTCATAGAAACCGAGTTTCAACCCTTGCCCATTGGTTTGAGCAAGCAAAGAGAGCAAGAGCAGTAGTACTTGAAGGAAGGTGAGACAAGAGATATTCATCTGCAAAGCAGCCTTATCGTTATGAGCGTTCTATATTTTTGATCTGTGATGGTGTTGTTACTTATACTAAGCTGATCTTGTGTATACTGTCATGGGAGTTGTGAAGATTGTAGTTTAAGTTATTAACTAGATTTTGACCCGCGCTTCAGAAGCGCGGGTTTTTTCTGCTTAATAATAATGTTCAAAATGAATTTGTATTTTAGTTTCTATGTGCATTATTAAACTACAAAATCATATTAATCTTTTATTTAAAATTATATAATTTATTAATTAATTTATTTGAGATTTTGTAAGTACTCTTATGTTATAACATCATTTTTATTTTTTATAAAATTTATATTTGTTGAGTTGATGAAATATAAAATTTACTTGGTCTATTATAGGCTAATCTTGTAGAATGGATTTGTAGGGTTTTTAATAGTTTTAGTCGTATTATTTAAATATTGATCCAGACTTACTGTCAAATCGGTAAATTTGGTGACATATATATAATTCAATCTGGATTTAATTAAAATGTTAAAATTTAATAAAATCCGGTAAAATCTTAAAAGTCCATTAGTAACCAAGATCCAATATTAGTTGACACTATAAAATTCCATATAAAATTGATTAAAACTTTTGAATCAAATTTTAAAGTGCGAGATTGCTATTCCTTTAAAAAAAACTTACTTAATCTACTTTTTACAAAGTTATTGAAGATCACAAACTAATTCCTAATGTGAGGTTCGTCCACAACTGGACTATATTTCTGGAAATTCAAATGAGTCCAGATATATTTTCATATAATGAAAATTATACATTTTATACATAATTATTATATTTTAATTTTTTTATAATTTTTTTTTAAATTTGTATATCAAATATTTTTTTGTTATTTTTAAAGTAACTAAAGTCTTAGAATTTTGGATAATTCTGACCCGCTTTATGACTCTTTGTTTAACCCGTTTGTTTAGCATTTTTAGCTAATTGTTAAAAATTATTATCATCAAATGAAAATACATTAATTTATTTATAAATATTCTGACCTGCATAATTAGGTTATTTTGACTTGTCTATTAAATTGAATATTCATGTTTTTAATGTTAGTAGAATATATTTATAAACAATAAGTATGTATATTTGGTAAGTTGATAGATAACTAAACAAATGGTAAATGTCTATTAAATATTAAAATGTTTTGCGTTAACCATGTAACATGATACATTTTTATGCTGATAGTTTCACTGTAAAAAGATATATAATAGGTTGTCACCTATTTGTTGAAATGAAAATCTCAACCACTTAATGATATAAAATAACGAAAATATTTGTTTTAAATTTAAATTCTGGTTCAATTTGCATGTGAATACATATGTATTATTAACTTCGAAATTTTGGTTCAATTCTCTAATATTTCATAAATCAGAATATATATATTAACTTACGAAAATTATTTTTTTGGGGATTTCATAGAATCTATAAAGGGTTTAGATGTGACCAAGAACACTAGTTGTATGGGAACCTTTTGTAATTTTGTTGAGTTATCAATTATTATATGTGGAACATCATTTTGCATATGGATTTTGGGTTGCTTGGTGTATATTACTATTGCCAACTTAAAAAGGCGGCCAAATACAGTCTCAAACAAGAAAAACATAGAATAAAGATAGCAATTTCAGGCCATCTAGACAATTAGGTGTTTAAAATAATATAAATTGTTTGATACTAGTTAATAGAATAGTAATTTGTCAAATATTAACTAACTTGAAATTGACAAGTAAACCACAAGGAAGAAAACTATAGTCATGTTTAGTAAACGCAAGACGAGCCGTTCCGAATTATTTTTGTACACGTATATAATGGCTGGTAGGTAGAAGAATTAAAAAATGAAACAATTTTTGCTTGTGAAATTGAACTTCTAAACTGACAAAGTGACAATGATATGGTAGGAGAAAATAATGTAGCTTAACAATACTTGTTATTAATTAATATCCTTTTGACAATATTGTGTGTTGTGGAGTTGACTTGTTTGATATTAACATTTCAACGTCGGAGCTTTAGTGGAGTTTTGTTAGGGTAACGAAACGGGCATGATTTGTCCATTGGAGTGGTCATATAGAGGCCCATTATTACTTTCTTGAACACCTGAGGCCCATAATATACAAAGCCTAAAATAAAACGTAAAAACAAGTTGAAGAGCGCGTCTCCCCAACATGTCGTCAATCGGAGGATACTATAAAAATATGTTTGCAAGAAAATCTTAGACGGTTTTTTACACCTGTGTGCGTCTTGCTTGCGCATTATGCGAATTGATTTGTTTAGTTTGCAATTTACATAATTAGTTTAGTGGTTGAAAGCAAGTCAGACTATTCTTGTAATATTGTAATACATTTATCTCTATTCTTATCAAAAGATAATGAAATTATTGAACTCCTTACATCTATATTTGTAAAATCTGACATGTTTAATTAGCATTAGTGACAAGTACAAACTACAAACACAAATAAATTGTAGACATATATTTCTTACTATATTATGACAGAAGTGTGTCGCTGGTTACAAGGAACAAAAATTTAAATTCGAGAAAACAGTTTAAGAATAAAATTTTAAATAAAAGATAATTTTTTTTTTGTGGTACATATTGATGGACATTTAGACTACAAACAGACGAAGACAAGCATTCACAATCAATGTCTACATTTTCAAGAACACCCGTCCCTCTCCTTGATGATTTTGCCTGTATCATATCTATCAAAAATTTAAGACAAAAAGATATTGGTGTAGTTAAGATAATAAGATTCATAAGTCAATTGCTATTTGACATGCCAAATTAGTCTTCAAATCTTGATAGAAGCTAATCATGATTTATTTATTAATTAAGAACACAAGATCCTTCGTCTATGTTCTGACCATTCATAGCTTGACATGTCAGTATCCAAAAGTTTGGATAATTTTTATCTAATGCCTTAAGACCTAAATAGAACTAGTAGAAGTTCGATAACTTTGTCCAGTGCCCTGTGCCTAAGGACATCAGTAGTGTCTAGCGAAATGCTACCAGACATTATTAAACTTTGTTTGTTTGTTTGTTTTTCTCCACATTCATAGGTTATAATCTTCATAATCAGTACATATATATGTATGTATCTCTAGTATGAACTAGAGTAAAATTAGATTTTGCAAATTTCATAATTTTTTCCTTGGTCTTGCAACACTTGTTTGGATGATATAATATTAGACCCAAACCCCAAGTTCGATTGACACTTGTTATCGATTTTTTTCAATCCATATAATACAAACTCTAATAGAATGCTAACTTTAATGCAGATACCGTTTAAAGGGAAATGGCAACAAGCAAATTAGCCATATGTTTATATGTTATTTTTAAATCTAAAATGTTTTTTATATTTGAGATTCCTAAAAACCATACATAGTTTAGATTTTTTTTCTTCCTTTTTTCACAGTATAGAATATATACATTTGAAGATTTTTTTCGTGGATAGTTTCAGAATAATTTTGAAATAAAGGAACCCATAAAATTTTTGACTGTGGAAGCTGTGGATGTTTGGTGAGAGTCGTGACTAGTGAGACGCAACTATTCTCATATTGGTAAAATACATTAAGGATTTAATTTTGTCATTACCATCTCCAAATATTGTGTTCTTGGATGGTAGTTCTTTCGTTCCACAACAATTAAAAGAAATGATGTAAACAATTTTACACCGTTTCAAACTTCTCAGAACAATTTTACACCATTCCAACCTCTAAAAATAAAAAATTGGTTCCAACTAATGTTTGCGATTTTAGACAGTTACAAAAGTAAACAAAATATTTTTTAAAAATAATTATATAAATATAAATTTTTAAATTGAGATAATATGAATACTAATATATATATATATATACTATAAGTAATTTATATTGTAATTTTAAAACAAAAATATTTGCTATAACTTAACTTCAATATATATACCCAAAAATCATTTTTAATAATTTAATACTATAATTTTATCTATATTATTTTATATTTCTTATGATAACAGAATTTTAAATATTTTTATGATTATACATAGTGTTATTTTTCTACCGTTATGAAAAAATTTAACTTGAAAATTTTGAAATTATCTCGCAAATCTACCACTTTCTAGCTAATTTATCAGTCACACGAATGGTTTTATAACTCTTGGTGAGATCTTGAACTTTTAAAACAGTTAGAAAGTGATGCATTTGCAATTATTATAACTTAAAAACATATTAAACGTAGAAGTTTATGTTAAAAATAATATGACGTTTTGAAATTGTTATCTTGTTACTGTAACAAAAAAAATTGATTGTCATGTGGAAGAAAGGGAATGAGGGATGGATATGCTCTTGATTATGACTAGACATTTTATTTGTTAAATTTGATTATATTTATTACTTGTTTCGATTCGATCCAAAAAATTCAAACATCTGTAAGTTTTCGAACAAAGAAATATTAAAAATTAATATCACGTTCAATACTAAATGTTTTAGAGGTGGATATTTGATTTGTTATGGCTCTTAAAATAATATATATATATATAACTAATTAAATATAGAGTGTTATATATATAATCTTATATAATTAATATTTAATATACTTATAAAGGTATATTAAATTAAGAAAATAATATAAAATATTTAGAAAACTTCAGACCTATGGAGAACTAGTATCATACCAACCGGCACCGATAATACTAAAATTTTATAATTTTCTGTGGTTTATAAATAAAATAATTAATTTTAAATATTTATGGAACATACTGTTTCATTAGCTTTTATTTTATATTATGTAAATTTTTTTTTGAAAATAAACTTGTATAATTTTTTAAATTTATTTGTTTTGAAAGATATTCGTAAATATTCATGCATATAAAAAAATTAGATATCCAGAAAATCGTATTTTTCTAAAGCAAAACGAATCGAAAATCAGATATCTATAAATTACGAATTAAATTAAAAATACTTGAAATTATGGGATTATCTAATTTACGGCCATTCTACTCCTAATTAGAGGGGGTGGGGGGGGGGGG